TGAGGAGGGACCAGGGAGGGCGAGAGGGGAATACCTACCTTCGAGGTGGAGGGGCGACCGTCGTTCGGCGGGGACAGGGCCCGCGGGGGAGGGTTCACCGGCGGGGAGCGGTGGCGGTTTGAGAATGGCGTTTGGGAGGCGGAGGCGGATCACGGTTGCTACGGCTACACTTTTGTCTCTTTTTTCTTTTCGCTTCTGATGAAACTCTGCGGCTTTGACACGTGTACTCGCGCCGGGCGTCCGCTCGGTTGGCGGGGGCACTCCTCGCCGGCCGTCGGATGGTGGGTAAATCGTCTGATCTGGGTACTCACGCCGTTCCAATAGAAAAAGGAAGCCCCGATGCAACATGTTTGCCGCAAATTTGTTTCCAGGGTTGTGCAAAATTTGTGGCAAAATACTTGCAACATCTGCAATATTTTAAAAAACGTGATATATGAATAATCAATGTAGGAGTACTATGCAATAACCTTTCGGCGTCACCCTTTTCGTCGACATGGACGTATCCATCGCAAACAGCCCAATAGGTCATGTTGAATGAGTTCTGCGGGCACTGTGGTTTGCTTGGACTCATACCATGTAGGTAGAAGAGATCTTGGGTGAAGAAGACGAGGCGGAAGAGAGGTTTCGGGAAGTAAATGTCGTGCTTTAGTGAAGCGACTAATAAAGAAGAGGATTGGTTCGTCGGTCGCCTCCTGTATCACATGTGTGCGACAGAAAGTGGTGGTTGTTCAGATTTCTCTTTGCCTCTCGCATCAGCGGCTACTAGGGCACTCATACCTTCCAAGTTTCGTCGGTGAGCCCGTGGATCCACCTCCCATCTACTTGCTGCTCAGGCGGCCGGTGGCTGGCAGGGGTTCTCGGTCCCTCGTCTTCGGCTAGTAGTTTAGGTTAGGGGTTCTTTCGTGGGAGGCGGGTGTTCCGGTGGATGGCGACGCTTCATCTTTGAGACGGTCTTCCGGGCTTTGATCCTCCTCGAATTCGTCTATCGAGATGGAGTCGACAGAGCTATGGTGTAGATTCATGTCATCTTCTTGGCATGACGAGGTTAGGATTTCTCTTCAAGCATGCGCGCCAGTAAGATTTAGTGCCAGGCTCTTCTGATCGATTTAAGGGTCCAATGGCGACGTCTGCAGCTCTAGGGTGTTGGTCCTTAGGAGCATATGCATGAAGACTTACCCGGCTATCATCGACAGGGTCAAGTTGACTCCAGTAGGGGAGCGACGAAAGTGATGCGTCAGCGGTTCGTTTTGGCAGCGGTAGTGGCCATTCGGTGGTGCATGATCCTTGATGTATTTTTTATCATGTCTAGAGGTGCTATGAAATTTTTGTGAACCTTTATATATGATATATCTGGTTCCATTTTTTTAAAGACTAATGAAGCAGAGGAAGATGGGTGTTTAAAAAAAAGAGGATGATGGGCGTTTGGAACATGGTGTAATATTGTGCTAAGAAAAACGTCGTGGGGAGGAAGCGGGTAATAGAAGAACTCCACATACTCGATAAGGTCATCCTCTTGTGATGTTTCAACGTAATTGGATTGAGCCTGTGATGGACAATCCTCTATATGAGCGATGGGAGAGTCCAGTCAGTCAAATGAGTAAGACATTTTTTTGTTTCCTCCCGCTAGGCCGGAAATCTTGCATTTTCTATATCCATATGATGTGGAGTCCTTAGGTTTCGAGTTATATCTCGACCTTCCTAATTTTAAATCAAATGAAGGTGATGGCTAACGCCTTTCTTGACAATAGCTTCCGGAGATTAAGATTGATTCTCCTCTTTGAAGTTCTCTGATAGTGAGGATCTATTTGACCGCTCTAAACAAATTTGGTTTCATGGATTATTGGGTCATGACAGCATTTTGCACGGTATATAAATTTGCTCGCATGACATGTATTATTGCTTGTCCATGTGGTTGGTAGCTTGGTACTTGGGTTTCATATTATCGCTTGTGTTGAAATAGATGTACATAAGAGTGTGATCTAATAAAACAAGCATATCTTAGTTTGGCATTTTAATATGTTCATCATGTCTCACAGACAAGCGAGACAAAATGGAAGTGCAAAAGAAATTGGTTAATTTCATCCTTGTATACAGGGCAGAAAACTTATTGTTTTATACTAAAAAAATTACATTTGCTTATAGAGTCGAGCATTAACATATACTCCATCCATTTCAAAAATACCAAAAATCACATGGTCAACATAGTTTTTGTGATACAAAATCAAATCAAAAGTGAACTTTTTTGGAACGAATCTGTTACACCATTACATGTCACATAAAGCATCTATTACCAGAAGGACGGTCATAATTTTATCTACGGGAAAACCTTACCTTATTGAACAAATTATGACTAACATTTCAAAATGGAATCATTTTTTTTTGAAATCATTTTAACATCAAAGGTCACTGGCTCAACGTTCGTGCTGGGCAAAGTGGCTGCGAGCCACCCACACCCCCTGCCCCCCAGGGACCAGGATTTTTCGACTGAAGCTTTTGCTAATTTTTTTTAAATAATACATTTTTTATTAATTTCCATAAATATTACGCTGGGTAAATTTTTTTTAAAAATAATACACCGTCGGCCCGCTGCAGGCCGACTGGGCCTAGTCGGCCCACAGCAGGCCGATTGGATTCCACGGCCTACAGCTGGCCGACTGGCCCCTGTCGGCCCACTGTGAGCTGACTGGAGCTAATTGGCCCACTGTGGGCTAATTGTTTTTGCAAAAAAATAGGCATAAAAATATATGTTTAAAAAATGTTAATCATGTAATTAAAAAATGTTAAACGTGTATAAAAAAATGTTCCTGATGTATACAAAAAATGTATAATATATATGCAAAAATGTTGACATAAAAAGTATGTTTTAAAAAGTTTTAATCATGTATTTAAAAATTGTTAAATGTGTGTATAAAAAATGTTCCTTATTTATACAAAAAATATAGAATGTGTATGAAAAAAAGTTGACACCAAAAAATTATGTTGGTGAGTTGGTGACAAAAAATAAATCAAGGTTGTGAAAAAAATCTGATTGGTTGCTCTTTTTTATGGAACTGGAACATTTTTTTCAAACATATTTTTTTGGTGTCAACTTTTTTTGATACACATTCTATATTTTATTTATAGATAAGGAACATTTTTTATACACACATTTAACAATTTTTAACCATGTATTTGAAAAAATGTCAACTTTTCAAACATATTTTTCAAACATAATTTTTTGGTATCAACTTTTTTTCATACACATTCTATATTTTTTGTATAAATAAGGAACATTTTTTATACACACATTTAACAATTTTTAAATACATGCTTAACACTTTTCAAAACATATTTTTATGTCAACATTTTTGCATATATATTGTACATTTTCTGTATACATCAAGAACATTTTTTTATACACGTTTAATATTTTTTAATTACATAATTAACATTTTTTTAAACATATATTTTTTATGCCAATTAGCTCCAGTCGGCCCACAATGGGCCGACAGGACGCAATCAGCCCACAGTGGGCCGACAGGGGCCAGTCGGCCAGCTGTAGGCCGACTGGAATCCAATCGGCCTGCTGTGGGCCGACTAGGCCCAGTCGGCCTGCAGCGGGCCGACTAGGCCCAGTCGGCCTGCAGCGGGCCGACGGTGTATTATTTTTTAAAAAAAATATCCAGCGTAATATTTATAAAAATTAATAAAAAATGTATTATTTAAAAAAAATTAGCGAAGCTTTTGCATAAGTGGCTGGAGATGGGCTACCCATTGAAGAAACACACGACAAGAAAAAGATGATGAAGAGGAGACGTCACAGCAAGGCGCAATCGGAAACTATAGGAATGATGGCATAGCAAAACTGCAAAAGACAGCACTATTACTCGTTGCTTAAAATCTAATAATGTACTGTACCACTGTAGCATGTGCACCATCACAAGAGAATAAGAAAGCTAGATAACTCTGTCTGCAACCACCATGTAGTTAAGACCTGTAGGCTACAGTCACAATCTAACTCTTTCCATGTTGTTTCTTCTTCCTTTTATGTTTTGGTTTGACAGCATCTATTAGACTCTCCGGTGATCGGCTTTCCTTGACCTCATCCGACACTCCAGCACTTCCAGAATTTGACACGCTTTTCACCTCCGGATTAGATTCAGTCAACATTGGTTCGGCAGCTTCATGCTTTTCGTCATTTGCTACAGCTGGTGAATCTGCATATTGCAAGGAAAATTTCCATAATTCAGAAGGATGTGTATGCATGTCATGATGAAGAATCGTTCTTGTCCAGTTAAGACAACAAAAGCTCCAGAATTAGTTAACTCAGCTAAAGCATGCTTAGCATATGGAACACATGTTTCAGCACTTTTACTAGATCATATTTCATGGCTAGTGAGGACTAGATTTGAAAAGTGAAGCATGAACCCGATGTTCAGGAAATTCATTATAGGTAGTAAGCACTCAGATCATGCAACTAGACAGGAAAAAAAATTGAAAATAACAAGCAAACACAATTCATGGTACCAGGCAACTGAGAGATTCTGAGGGAGCTTAATGGAACTCCTTTGGAGTATGGATCCCTACATTGCAAAAATCAGGGTAATTGGGAAAACTTAAATAAACCAACTATTTAATGCTCGGATTTAGAGAAGTGCAGCACTCCAGTAGCTACCAATTTGATGGGCCACCAACAAACGTGGACGTTTGTTTGTGTTTAACAGTTCGGTCCACAGTCAAGGGTGAAATCATTTTTGTATCTTGATGATCGTCATCACCTTCACTTATCTGCTGACCATCATTGGGCGCCTTCGAGGTTTGGTTTTCCAATGCAGTATGTGTGCTCTCCTTCATAGTGACATCAGGAACGTCAACTTCTTTAGCAACTAATGCTGGAGTACGCTTTACTTTCTGCAATGCCTTATCAGTAGTGTACTTATCAACCTGAACAAAAAAGAATAGCATGGGTTTTGATCCTTAGAATGACATGCATATCTGATCATCGAAACAGAACAAAGTTCAGAAACACATGATTTCTATGTATCAGGCTCATTCAAAGAGCCGTTGAACACACATGCTGATGGATTGATCCAGGGGTTTGATTTGCTACTTTGAGATGAACCAGCAAGAAGCCAAAATAGGGTAAATTTGGTAGCAGATGGGTATGCTGCTAACCAGGGCCATGGCAGAGATAGAATGGCCACGCTAAGAAGCACAGATACGGATATACAGACACTGGGATACGTCCAGGTATTATAAATATTTAGAAAAATATTTAGCATGATCGTATAACAAAGATTAAATGATAATTTTTCAAGAGATTTTTTAAGTTGAGTACTAAATATATGTTGTCACAGTTCCATTAATGAAAGACTTTGAGCAGTGCATATGTAATACAGCCCAATTTCAGAAAACTCTAGACTAAGTCAGCTCCTCCTCACTTTCCCATTCTCATTCTGCCACCCCTTGCTCCAGCTGCCCGAGAGCTGCAGAGCAGGAGAAAACAACTGCGCCGCCGCATGTATCTTCTTGCTCATCGGTCGCTTCTGTCCCCATCTCCCTCTCCACTTGAATCTTCTTCGCCGGCGGCCGCAGTCCCCATCTTTCTCCCTGCCCAGAGCTTCTTCCTTGTTGGCAGCCGCCTTCCCAACTTCATCCCCGCCTGGATCTTCTTCGTCACCAGTGGCCACCGTTCCCATCTCCCTCTGCCCATATCACAGCCTTATCTGCCCAGTGTCCCAGCCTATCGCTATTTATTTTATTTCTTTTAAATCGGAAAAAGGCATAGGCGCTAGCAAAACAAGCAAAACGCCTAGCGCTTGATGTGGATAATTGCGCTTAAGTGTGCGGTTTGGTCAGAAAGGTGGCAAAACACACAATTAATGCCTAGCACTTTTTATAACCTTCAAAAAAGATACTTGGGGATACATACACATATGCTGGCGTATCCCTGTATTCCGTACGTACTGCACGGGGACATGACTGATGTTGCCATATCGGTGCTTTCTAGTGTCTATGTGCCTGACCAGCACAATGTCAACTTTCTATCATCTTTTTGTTTCCCTTTTTATGTCAATAGGGGTTTCAGTATGGAACTTTGTGAGTGGCTTAAACACTTTGCATGTCAGAGTGGTTAACCACAAGAGTTCATGAACCACATTCCCAATTGGCAAAACCTGCTATAGTTTCATATTTCATAGAACATTAAAGCAGATATCCAAATTATAATGCCATATAGTGATGCAGCTTGCCTCACCTTGGTCTTTATTTTGCTTGTTATATCAGCAGCTTTAACCGAAGCAATCCTTAAACACTGCATGATAACACTTGACATGACACCCTCTCCACCAGCTTTCTGAATGGCACAGACATCACCATTTGAATTAATCGTAGCTGTCATCCTTCCTCCCATAACAGCTTCTTCCTTGTATGTTGGATCGATAACCTACACAAAATTCAGCCAAAGACTGTCATGAGAAGATGAGAGCAACAAGATGATTGCTAATAACACGCCCTTCATGTTTTGAAATATACCATGATATTACCGTCACCAAAATATGCAAAGGTTACAGCTATGGGGAGATGATGAATTGTTAGGGGAAGTGGATCCATGACCTGTAAAATACATCAAAGATAAAAACATAAGACAAATTTCATGGCAGTGTAAACGACAGGACCAGCATTTGATAGTTAATAACAGGGTTGTGTTTGTGATAATGTATAACAGGAAGCTCTGTAAGTCATACAAATTTGCTACTTCTCATTATAGAGACACAACAAACTGGAGAATATACAATATAACACCTTATATAGGTACCTCAGGGTCATGTACTGTGACTTGCTGACCATCATCCCCACCAACCGTGCATTCAGGTCTCCGGAATGTAGACAAAGCTGCCAATGCAGCGATGTTAGCTGCATCGATGAGATTCCTGAGAGATACATCCATATCGTTTCACACGGTTAGCGCTCTACCCAGAAGCATCCACTCATTAATTACATCAGTAAACAATATACAACCCATACCCCCCATTGTCCAGAATGTGAAGGTCAACGCGCACCGACCAGACATGCTTCCCGGCAACAACACACAAGGATTCCATATCAACGGCTCTGCTCTCCCTGCAACAACGCACCGAGCAGAAGTGAATCCAAATTAAACTCCACACTTCAACTCTCTGACAAAAAGAAACAGTACCAAACAGCCATCCTGAGACCTTAGGCCACGGTCAATGACACGGCCGAGCTCAATCGCCGCTTCCCCGGGTCGTCCTGGCTCAAAGGCAGGGTCAGCCATGGGAGAGAACTCGGTGAATATGGCGAGCGTGCCCTCGTTCGGCCTGTCCTTGTACGGCGGGACCAATTGGGCGGTCACATAGCCCATCACGCACGTCTCGCCGAGCAGCACCTCCGCCGAGCCATCCTCCCTGCAGATTCCAACAGCGACCTCAGCCAGACATTGATGCGCGCGCGAGCAGAGAAGCTCCGTGAGCTCAAACCGTCGGTCGCGGAAGGAGAAGGGGGGTGTGGGGAGGGGATCGAGTCGAGGTACCTGCCGAAGGAGATTGTGAGCTTGCGGAAGTCGAAGGGGCGGCGGCCGTCGACGCGGAGGTCCGACTGGAGCGCCTGCTCGATGAACTCCCGCTCGTTCACCGTCGGGCGCCACCGCTGGTCCATCATCTCGTCGCTCGCCGGCGGCGGGGGGCTAGGGTTTTAGACGCGGCCGAGGCGGGGTGTGCGAGAGCTTGTGTTTTTTCCTCTCCTTTTTTTGACGGGAGCTTCTAAGTTTTTTTTATTGATCGAGGAAATATGTGTCACATTCGTTGGGTTTTTGACCGGCTTGGGCTTTGGGTCCGTGCAGGTTAGCTGGGCCTCTATGGACACAATTTAGGTCCCTAAGCGGGCTGGATTCTGGCACGGCCGAAATACCACAAATTTTTTGATTTTTTTTCAACAAAAATCTTTTAAAAAATCGGGACTATATTCTTAAAAATATTGTTTGAAGAAAGTTTATTTACATACTGAAAACTGTTTGTGTGCGGAAACATCAACAGATGAAAATAAAAATATTCATGGTATATTTGAAAAATGCTCATCATGATTTAAAAAATGTTCGTGGGCGAAAAATATTATAGATGAAAATAAAAAAGATATAAAGAAAAAACCTGGAAGAAACGAAATGAAAAGATAGAAGTGGGAATAAAATGAAAAACCAGATTAAGACACACCCTTAAAACTTGGAAAGGACACAAAAGAAAACGAAATCAGATTAATGAGTGGTAATGGGCCCTGACCCAATGGACTAAATATCTGTGTAATATTCTCAATTAAATCGTTAGTCCAACAGAATCATGTGTCATCGACCCCAAGAACACATTAGGGACTTAGATGGCCTTTCAACTGTCATCTTGACTAATACTGACTCACAGTGACCATTGCTTCGATACACATTATTTGGAAATAGGAAGAACAACAATGTTTCCAAAGGACCATGACAATGAAACTCAGGAGTTCATGAAAGAAAACCCACACCAGGCCAGATTTCACTTGTCCACATTGGCAAAGGAATCAGTCAAGCTTTCACCCTCTACTGAAGCATTCGTTGCAAGGTTTTGCGCTTCTAGAAGCTTCATCTGCCGCTCAGCATGCTCCCTCTCACACTGGCTAATGCCCATGATGATGTCAAGCATAGTTCCAGTAGTCCCAAAGAACACCAGAGGAGCGAAGGACTTCCGCTTTATGCCCACAGGAATAGCAAGGAGAGCACCAGCAACAGAGAAGACCCAAGTTCCGAGGGCACTGCATGCGCATGTGAAACTGAATCAGCATAACATGTTCCAAGCAAACGTGCTGCCTAAAGAGCTGCTGGTTATAGTCTATCTTTTTCTAGACATATATGCAAAGTCTACAAATCTACACTTGCCATTTATTGGTGCTAAGTTTAGTACGGTAAGTCCAAAAATCTACAGCGCATGTTCACTGGTCTTTTAACTGCACACAGTTTACACAATTCATTATTCTAACATGGCCGTGCACATCCTATAGCATATGACCATATGCCGGTGCACAACTCACCGGATGTACCAGAGAAATTCCAGTGATGGTCGAGGAATGACGGTAGAGTAACTGGAGGCATGGTGTGCTACTGTGCTCAATGCCCAAATCACATCTATGAGTTACTATGCCAAAATCATAAATTCAGGTTTCGTGAATCTGATGGCAAAAAGCAACTGGAGGCATGGATCAAGAAATACTACCCCAACAACAGGAAACTAGGCATAATGTGACTGCTAAATCCAAGCCACCTTTTCTTGAGCATACTACAGCGTAAAGTCTACAAATCTACAGCAGGTGTACACCGAACTTTTCTCCATACTGTCTACACAATTCAATAACATGGCCATGCACATCCCAATAGTACATGACCATATGCCAGTGCACATCTAACAGAATGTACCAACAAAATTCCAGTGATGGTTAAGGTATATGACAGTAGAGTAACCGGAAGCATGGTGTGTCTGATGCTCAAATCACATCTGTGAGTCGGTACGCTGGAAAATTTATGTCGTACCATGCCCATAAGTTGGTTTGGTGAATCTGATACCATTTCTGACTTGTGACCTTGTAGCAACAGGGAACTATCAATCAACTAGGCATAAATGCATAATGCGTATTTCGTGCCACTCTGACGCGTGTGGGGAATTCCTGGCGTTGGAGCATTTCAACGAACACCTTGCGGCCGCCCGCGAAACCCATACCTAGGCAGGCACTACATCGATCTTGACCGAAGCGGCAGCAAAAATCACAAGGTTGGGCGCAGGGAAGGGAGAGCCGGGTGACTAACTTGGCGACGGTGCAGTCCTCGAGGTGCTTCTCGCCGCTGCCGACTCGGTCCATTGCTTGCTTGCGGCGGGGCCCGTTGCCGTGACGCGGCGGCGGATCAACCTGCGTACGAACGGGCGGTGGATGGAGGTAGCGAGCTGGGCGTCGCGAGGATGGGGGGAGGCCGGATCTCGGAGGCGGGCGGGGGGCGGCCGCGGCGGAGGAGGGAGGGAGAAGGGTCGGGGCTCGAGGAAGGGATGAAGGAGGGAGCAGGCCGAACCGCCTCCCTCCTAGCTCCCGATTCCCCCGCCCCGCCCCCGCCGGCTTCCTCTCCACCGCCACCGCCACCGCTCCCCCCTTCCGCCGCCTCTCCCCGGCGGTTCCTGCTTGCTCCTCCCCTGACGGCCGCAGCGCCGCGCGAGCGCCCACCCCGCACCGCCTCCGCCCCGGTTACCCTCGACCTAGCCCTCCCCGGTTTCCAAGGGTTTGACAGGCGATGGAGAACGGGAAGTCGGTGGTCGCCGAGCTCGCCGCGTCGTTCAGCGGCGTCCAGGTCACGCCGCGCCGGAAGCCCACGAGCACGCCGCCAGCGGCCAGCTTCTGTGAGCTCCCTGTTTCTCTTCCCTGTATTTAATGATTTCCTTAAATCATGTGCTCTATGTGCTGTCAGTCATGGTTGCATATCATTCATTGGTTTACAATAAAAAGCGTGCTTAGGGTCTGCATAATCAGAGTTCCTGCTACTTTTCGTTTCTTTTCTTTTTGAAACTGTGCTATCTTTTCATTAGAGATGGGATGTTTCTACTTTCTAGCGGTGAACATGAGAAGCTTGTGTTAGTTGCTCAGCCTGGGATAGGAAAATAGACCGTGAGCTTTCTGAGGTGGTAAAACAGATGAGGGCATTGGTCTCCAGGGAAGGTGCAATGGATGCGATTGAAGATTCAGTTCGGTTGTTCCATTAATGGTGTCTAGGTGGAATGCTTAATAAGTTTCATCTTGCAATAAGCAACTAGAACTGCGGGATTCCCCTGTTGCTAGCTAGTAGAGTACACGCGCTTGCAAGTTCCAACTAGTTGCTTCAGGGATTGAGTTAATTCATTGACGTTGACCTTTGTCCAGGGGCATATAGTAGATTGGAACACCTGAGTTCTGTTTCTCGTTATTTTAGATTGTACTATGGATTTGATTTATTATCTGCAAAGTGATAAATTTTAAATTTGAACTAATTCAGATTCTCCCATGAAGAAGGCCAGGCCTCGGAAATTGGTTAGTTTGTGCATTGGCGTCCTTGGTCAGCATCTTGAAGATATTATCAATGATATTTCTGAATTTACTGCCTTCTTCCCACCACACATAAAGGTACCTATTTACATCTATGGTCGGCGTTTTTGCCTTAATGCTGAATACACTCTGTAGTCAAGATGTAATTACTTAAATAGCTAGTTCATTTTTTACTTCTAGCTGAAACCCAGTAAATTTAGAAAGTAAGCCATTGGGGAAAATGTGCTGTTCGTCTAGGTAGTTTTAGACTTATAATCAAACAAAAACTATGGAAAGTATGAGGAACAATGTATGTATTCTTAAAGGAGAGCATCAGAATGGGGGCCCATTTCATCAACCACAAGAACCTTGTGCCTGCCAGTACTATTAGATTACATACTCCCCCTTGTTATTCCTTTTAGACGGTGGTTTGAAATGCCGATTTCTTCTGCTACATAGTACAGTCTCTTTCTGCTTTATTTGTAACACTTCAAGCATGGAGATGTATTCAAGCAACACTGAAAACCTATATTTTTCTTTCTTTGCGTGATGTGGAATCATGAATCTTGATGAGCTAAATAGCACAGAAGACACGCACCTTGAAATTAGGAACTTTAGAAGCGAACGCAGCAAGATCCGAGTATTGGCCAACAGTTAGGGAAAGATTGTTTGACGACATGAGATTATTATTATTATTTGACTTGCTTATAGAATAGCAGCTAATAGCAAATCCAATATGTTCTGTCTGATGTGCAGTTTAAGTGCCAATTTCGGTATTAGTGAAATATTGATGGTATATTTACCTTGTTTCGTGTCACTTTCTTCAACACACTGTTATTATCTAGTTATCTGTCCATACCTATACATGTAAGTTGTTACAGTAATAATTGAGTTAATTGTATGATACAGTTGGCAATTATGTCTATCGCGAGGAGGAGAAGATTACTGAATGACGATGTTCTGGTTTCTCTTGTTGATAGCTCCTGGAAGATCCTAGATATATCTGGGTCTGAGGTTACTGATGTTGGCCTGGCTACTGTGGCACGTACTTGTAGTAACTTATGGGCAGTTGATATTAGGTAAGCTTTGGTGCTCTGTGTCAGCTATTCTTTCGTGAAAGCTAAACAGACAGTCCGGTTAATGGTTGCTTTATATTTATGACATATCTTCCTTTGCAGTCGATGTGAAAAAATAACTGCTGCTGCCGTTTCAGAAATTATATGCCACTGCCCATCCCTGGAGATATTAAGATGCGGGTATGACCCATAAATGCATCTACAAGCTTAGGGTTACTTTATACTTTATAGCGATGTTTTACTTCTCTGGTCCTTAGGCTTGAGGATAACTTCATCTGCTTGCCTGTGATTGCCATGTTTTTGCCTCTATTCTTTGTGGATAAGTCAAGTGTGTGGATGCAGTGCACCGGTCAATTCCTACCTGTAAGGCTGTACCATGGTTGAATTCAGTCCCATGAAACTTGCAAACGCAGGGCTTTTAAATTTCGAGTGTTGGAGTTGCTGAAATCAAATGTATGCAATTTGGAAGTTAAAATTAGCTTGTTCTTCATGTGTAACTGACAATTAGCAAAAGGGAAAAAT